CGCAGCGGGAATATAGCAAACAACCTCCCAATTATGGTAGGGGGTCTGCAGCAACTAATGAGGTCTCTGATTGGTCTGGACAAAATTTGACCTTACCATCGCCTGAGGGCAGGCTCTATTTTGGAGGGGGGGGGTGGATGTGACGATTCAACTTGCCTGTCGTCACGTGAGCGGTGAGAAAAGCGGTGAGGTATAGGTACGGCAGAATACTTGCATAAATCGCCTCGCTAGCGACCTGGCTCCCTTCCTTCTTCTCCTCTCCTCCCAGCCTAGTCTCTTGTAATTTAGATCGCTCCTAGTGATAAGAAACTGCTCTATTGCCTGGAATTGGATCCGTCACATTAGTGATCGAACTGACTGACAAACTAACAGAGACTGATTCTGTGTTTGTTCTATCTATCTAGTATCTTTTGTACTCTTTCTGCCGTTCACCCTTTTCTTTATTTATTTCTCGACTCGATTCAAAATTTATCAGAGAAAGAAGATAAAGAAGAGATAAACGTCCGAGAACGCTGTGGTCAGAGATAAAGTGAAGCTTCATCATCATCAATCTCCACGTCGTCCACGGACTCGCGCTTCTCTAAGCTTAAGTTAAGGAGATGATAAAAATAAAATCCATACCATGGCATAGAGTTTTTTTCTCTGCATTAAACAAATCACTGACCATTGTTGTTGAACTGTGTTTTTGTTTGTTTTTGAGTTGGATTCTACATTCCTTTCCTCCTTTCCTCTCCTTCTATTTTCTTGATAATATGATGATGATCACAATAGTAACGACGATAAGCTAGATAATACCTCTCTCTCTCTTCCTGTCTCAGCTATTATTATCTATTATCTATGTGTCCATTACTATTATTATCTATCCATTAATACTATTATTATTATTCCAAGCAATAATAATCAGTTACATAATGTTTTACGTGCACTCCGTAGTATACTGTTTTGGAATTTTTTTTTAGTACACTCTTATAATAAACTATTATTATAATAGTTATATTTATAATATGTTACTAAGGCGAGGTAGGTGATCTTAGTTTTTACAGAGCATAATCGTAAGAATAATACTAAGCATACTAAGTAAGGATTGTGATCATTCCCGCGTCGATGTCAACTTGATAGCGAACATGACTAATACATATCGGAGACTTGCTTTGCAGACTCGTACAATCTTTTTTAATTAATAATTAATAATCACTGATCTTCACTCCTTGTCTCATAATAATAACGAGTGATGATTTCCGATTTAAATCAAGTCCATGCAGTGAGTGGAGTGGGTTTTGTTGTTGTTTTTATTTATGGGCTATCACATTCGTCAAGAGGTCAGTTCCCGCTTCCGAGTCGGATTAAGGTATGGAGTATGGATAGTCCTGAAACTAGCACCGAACTAGATTACCCTATCTAGAAAGGTAGGTAGAGAATCGTCATGCTACTAAGTAGTACGGAGTATGTACTCCGTACGGAGTAAAACTGCTAATAATATAATACTCCTATAATAATATACTCCTATTTATTATTAGCGAGTAGTGATACTATTATTATTAACTAGGTATACTACTTATAGTAGTCATAGCTATAGCTATAGCAAACTGGGCTGTGCAGACTTCAAGTCATTGAATGCTAACAAATCGGCTGTTGAGACAGTTGATACCCGTCAACGGGTTTTTAATAGTATTAAATGCATGCTTGTATATCTATCTATTTCACTCCGTACCTGTCTACCCCTTAACATATGCATCTACTCTACATGGGCTATCATGCTATATCCCCCTGCGGGGCGAACTCTTTCTGCATCCTTGCAGTTGCAGATCCGGCACTCGCTCCGTATGGACCATGCGGTTCGCTCGAATCGCTCCAAGTGGGCAGTGTCCAGCGTCCAGTGGACAGTAGACACACGGGACAATGGATACTTGCTGGATTATTAACTCCGTACTAAGTGCTTTTCTATAGGCAGATAGTTCTCCCCTCCCCCTTCTAAGTTCAGGCTTCTGCAGAACACCCGTTTCTGCATTCTGCAGCGCACGGCCGTTTTTTCTATCTATCTACGGAGTACGGATACTCCGTATCTGTCTATCTATCACTTTGATCCCTGATCCCTGGCCCTGACCCTGTCAGACAGACTGAACAGTGAACACAGACTTCCATCCGGGGGCCTGGTATTATTATTATTATTACTATTACTATTATTACCCTTTTGGACATGGCACATACACCATACCTATATAATTTTCATAAACTCGGATGACTGCTGATTTGACTTGGTAATAATTACGGAGTAATCTATCAGCTCAACACAGCCTCCGTGATGGTCATGTGACAAGGCTGGTTGTCTGTCTGCAATAACATCCCTGATCCAGTGATCCAGTGATCCACAGATCAGGTGATCGTCCTGAAAGGGGCATTCCATAATGGTCGATAGCTAGCTTGCTGTGAGTCGCTGTCACATTTTGACTTCGATCTAGAATAAACTAGAAAAAGGAGGGGGCTCCACCCTGAAATGAAGGTAATTAGTTGATTGATTGATTCGAATGATTCGACTATAGGTAAGCATTCGGAACAATGCAATCGGAGTGGCCGTGGTGGGCAGGTATATCCCTTTTCGGGAATGGCTATTCCGGACTAACATCCATCTGGTTAAGCAATTAATATTGGATGGAGAGATTATTTTCTGGCGATAGATTATTCCATGATACTATTTTAATTAATGAGGGAGACACTCTTCTGGAAATTAGTCGCTAATATTAACAACAACTCCGTAATTAATATTATTATTATTTGCACACGCATGGAAACTTCAAACCGTTCCTTTCTAGAAACGAGAAGCTGACAGCCTCAGCCTAAACGCCACAGTCGATCTGACAGCCTCGCAGACCCTCTGCGACACCGACAGCCTGGCGCTGTGCTGCCCACTTGAGTTTGCGGCGTTTGGGCTGAGCCATCCTGTCTGCCGGGAATCGCCTGCTGCACCCGTCCTCTGCGGTCGACTGGGGTGGTTGACGAACGAACGGAGCTGGGGGAGTCGCTGGCTTGGCCGATTCCAGAGTTAATTAAGGATTAGCATCGTGGTGACCCCGCCATGGGCGATCCAGTCAGTAGGCACTCCTGTCGTCCGTGACTCCGTCCGTACCGAGGTTCGCTAGTGCTTCTAGCCTTCTGCGTAGAAGCGCATGGTCAGCAGGGATCCCCGTCGACCCAACAGCGCAGAACATAGCGCGGGCGCCTGTTGGCCAGCGGCCATGACTAGTCTGATTAGATATTAATTCCATCCCGACCTCCAGTCACCTCAAGTCACCTTGACACCTCCTAGGGACGACCTAAGGAAAATAACGAAAGTTACCAGACTGCTAACTCGATCCGGAGTAGCTGGAAGTTGTCTCTGAGCTGGTGGATACCAGGACACGTCTTGACTCGGGAGAAGAGTCGTCGTTGGTGCGCTTCTGCCGGGTTCTCTACCCGGGGTTCGTTGGCCATGCGCTTTGTCAGAACCAGCAAGGCCCCGCTACTAACCGAATATCATTTTAACCTCCAACGAACGCTGCATCTGACCCCTTCTGGTGTCTTCCAGAGCAGGATGATAAGTCCATTCGGAGGCTCGCAACAGCGTTCCACTGCCAACGGCCCCCATGGGACGTGATTTGGCTGCCATCATCATCATGCTGGATGGCCATTCGATCGGGCGGTTATCGCCATTGGAGGAATTTGGAAAGGGACTCGGAATGCGCCTGTCACTTGACCAGGCCAAGTGGGCCCGGGGAGCCTCGGCCAGTCGCGACGCGAGCCTGGCTTAGTCAGCGCCGTTGCTGCTGGCGGGCGTCGGCATTCTCCCGGAGATAGCTAGGCCAGCAGGAGCCCGATCTGGCAGGAGCCGCAGGAATGCTTTGACGGTGTGGTCTGCGGTCTGTCGGGGGAGCTGCTCTCTTGTCTCTCGTATTGTTAGGATTATTTC